TTACTTAAGGCGGTGCTCTTGCTCGCCGCCGACAGCCCCCGTCCCGACAAAACCAGCGCTCCCGCCCGAGCCTTCTTCCCGTTTTGCGCTGGACTAGCGCTTTTTCTCCTCCTCGTCCTCGTCCTCCTCCTCTTCCGCCTCCTCCTCCTCCTCCTCTTCCGCCTCCCCCCTCCCTCCTCTTCCTCCTCCTCCCCCCTCCTCCCCCCCCTCTCCTCCTCCTTCTCCTCCTCCTTCCTCCCCCCTCCCTCCTCTTCCTCCTTCTTCCTTCTTCCCCACCTCCTCTTCTCCCTCCCTCCTCCCTACTCCGTCCCTCTTTCCTCCTTCCTCCTCCCTCCCGTTTCCTCCTCCTCATCCACTTCCTCATCCTCCTCCTCCTCCTCGTCCTCGTCCGCCCTCCTCCTCTTCCTTCTCCTCCTACTCCTCCTCCTTCTCCTCGTCCTCCCCCTCCTCCTCCTCCTCCTCATCCTTCTCCTCCTCCTCCGCCTCCTCTCTCCTCATCCTCTTCCTCCTCCTCCTCTTTTTCATCCGTCTCCTCCTCCTCCTCCTCCTCCTCCTCCTCCTCCTCCTCCTCCTCCTCCTCCTCCTCCTCCTCCTCCTCCTTCCTTCCCCTCCATCCTCCGTTCCCATTCCGTCCTTTCTCGTCGTTCCCGCTTGATACTATTTCCCACATTTACTCAAGACTGGGGGTCCTCATTTCGGCATCGCCTCTGGGGGGTTTCAAAGAGTCCCTGTTGAACCTTAATACGTATTAGAGAACTGGCATTTTTAGAAAGCATTTGTAATGTGGAGGAAGAGGAGAAGAAGGCGGATAGATGACTTCCAGGGACTCCAAGGATCGAGGGTCGAAGGATTGATTTCACGGGTTCCATGAGAGGGTGTGGAGGGGCACGGGGAGGATGCGAGCATGGGAGCGGTAGTGCCTGGGGGCGCGATTGTCCACGGCCGCGCGCCGAGGCCGCAGGATGGTGGCGTAACAGTTCGAACGAGGAGTAAAAAAACCTCGTCCTCGGAGGTATTTCTACTACAGCTACTCTTCCTTCCTCCCTCTCCTCCTCTTCCATCCTCCTCCTCCTGCTCTCCCTCTTCCTCTCCCTCATCTGCCCCCCCCCTTCCTCGCCCTCTCCCTCCCCCTCCAGGATGCGGGGCGTGCGCAGGGCGATTGCGATGGCGACGCGCCGCCCGAGCTGCGGACGCCAAACTTCCTCGGGAAAGGCGGTGGCAGTACTTTGTCGGGCGGGAGACCTGGGCGAGGGAATATCAGACACTTCATGCCATGCAAATTCCCCATGACTGGGCGTAGTACCCAGAAGGATGCGCGTGACATGTGGAAGCATGGCGCGCGTTGGTAAAATGATTGTCGTTGTCGTTGTTGCTGTTGTTGTTCGTTGTCGCCGCCGCGCCCGCGACCCGCCCCACGACCCGCCCAGCGACCCGCCCCGCGACCCGCCCCGCGACCCGCCCCGCGACCCGCCCCGCGACCCACCCAGCGACACATCCGCGACCCACCCCGCGACCCACCCGCGACCCGCCCCGCGACCCACCCGCGACCCACTCGCGACCCACCCCGCGACCCACCCAGCGACCCACCCGCGACCCACACCCCCCGACCCATCCGCGACCCCGCCCTGGCCCCGACATTTGACGTTTACTAAACGGCCCTGGGCGTTTACTAAACAGCCCTGCCCTGTTCGATTCATTTTTTGCGTTCGTTTACTAAACGGTTTCGCTTGTCGGGGTGGCCACTGTGGGGTGAATTTCCTGCCTTCTACACACGCGACCCGCCGCGACCCACCCGCGACCTACCCACATTGGTTTCACGAAGAAATATGCGCTTGCAGCGGGCACGTTGTATAATTTGTGAAACTATGGCGCCGGCGGCGGGCTTCTCCAGAGTCTCGAAGATTGCCGACGCCCCACACCGTCCCTCCACTCTTCTCCGCATCTGCGGGGTGCTACGTACATTCATACATACATACATACATACATACATACATACATACATACATACATACATACATACATACATACACACATACCTACATACATAATTATGGGGGGCGGCGACGAGGCGGCGACGGCGGCAACGCAGCCGCCTGACCGACAAACAGACACAGTGTCGCAGTAGCAAGCAAGAGCCCCTAAGCGCACGCATGGTTTGTGCAATAGCGCTGGGTTCTTAGGACATGTGAGAATATGTATTGCGAAGGCCTGACGGCCGGTGCCGCCGACCCTGTTCGCAATGCGCAGCAAGAGGCACGGGCTGTGGGATGGTTTGGGGGAACGGGGAGAAGGACGAGAAGGTGGGGGAGGGAGGTGTCGTATCTGACCTGGGACTTCCCCGGGACTCCCCCGGGACCCCCCCCGGGACCTCCTCTCCCCCCCCCGTCGGGGAAGGGAAAGGGAAGGGGCTTCCCTTCGACTCAATGACGACGTTGCTCAAGGTCGGTACGGGGGGGGGGCGTCGTATCTGACTCGGGGGGGGGGTCGCTACCCCCCCCCCGCTACCCCCCCCCCCCTCCCGGCGGGGGAGGGATCAAAGGGAAGGGGCTTCCCTTCGACTCAATTACGAGGTTGCTCAAGGTCGGCTTGGCTGGAGCCCAGGGGAAGAGGAGTCCCAGGGGGGGGCGTCGTATCTGACCCGGGGGGGGGGGTCGCTACCCCCCCCCCTCCCGGCGGGGGAGGGATCAAAGGGAAGGGGCTTCCCTTCGACTCAATTACGAGGTTGCTCAAGGTCGGCTTGGCTGGAGCCCAGGGGAAGAGGAGTCCCAGGGGGGGGCGTCGTATCTGATGAGAATATGTATTGGAGGCCCTCTTGAGCCAATCTGGTGAGTCCTGACGCCATGTTGGGCAAATTCGCGCGGTTGGGACTGTATTTGGGTTCGTCGCATCTTTCGTTATGTTCGAGGAGTCGCGGCTTGGGTCCAGGGCCGAATGTGCAGCATCCTTGGCCGCGCGGGCCCAGTATCGGTGATCTGTGCGGGTCTCGTGGGGCGCCCAGGCAGGCCATCAGCTCGACCGCCTCCCACCGCCACCGTTGCGAAGGCGCCAGGGCGTCGTCGCCAAAACAGGACCCACCAAGCCGAGAAAAGGAGGTGGAAGAGGAGGAGGAGGAGGAGGAGGAGGAGGAGGAGG